TAGATTTATCGACAGCATTAAGTTGAAGTGTTGAATAATAAAAGAGTCTGGAGTAAGTTACAGAAGCTGCTGCTCTTACCTGTGTCTCACACACACACACACACTCACACACACACACACTCACACACACTCAGAGTAAACAGTGTGTGCAGAACCTGATGACGGATCAGTTGTTTGTTCTGCCGGTGACACCTGGAGGCCTCTGTGCGTCATTCACACTGACAGGACGGACATGTTTTTAACATTCAGTTAAAGTCACAGGAACTGCAGTGACGTCTGTTGACCACACCGCTCTCTCTCTCTCTCTCTCTCTCTCTCTCTCTCTCTCTCTCTCTCTTCTTGTTGTTGTTGTTGTTGTTTTTCAGCGGGGGCCGGGCACAAACTAGGATGGGCCTTCGGTCTGGGCCTGGAGCGACTGGCCATGGTTCTGTACGGCATCCCTGACATCAGGCTGTTCTGGAGTCGGGACCAACGCTTCCTGAAACAGTTCCGGGTGCAGGACGTCCAGCAGCGTGTGTGTTTCCAGGTACTCACCCTCCTGAGGCCTGGCCTGGAACATCAGAGTGTCATCTGATCTGGGTCCAGTGTGTGTGTGTGAGTGTGTGTCTGCTCCTCATGTATAATACATTTTGACAGTGGGGAGGGGGGGGGGGCCTCTGCCAGCTCTCATTTTTCCCGACCTCAGCATCACACCCACCCCACCACAGGAGTGTGTCTGACGCTCACACACTCACACACTCACACACAGCGGTGACTGTGTCCCTGGTAAATCTGTTCTATGTCAACTCTCATTGCCCCTAATGAAGAACATTTAAAGTGAGTTGCGGTGGAAGGAGAGGGGGGAGGGGAGGGGGAAGGAGAAATGAAAGAATAAAGGACAAAGACGAGGAGAGTTAAAAGGTTGGACGGAAAAACGGCAAGAAAGAAGAAGAAGAAGAAGTAATGGAAGAGAAAGAAAGAACTGCTGGAAAACAAAAGAGAAGAAATCTAGACAAGAGCTGTTCAAATAAATATATGATATATATAAAAAAAATAAATAAGGGAAGTGAAAAATTGACTGTGGAGGAGAAAGACATGGGGCTGAGAAGATAAAATGTTGAGGGATATATATACAGATGACTTCCTCCCTCGCCCTCTCTCCCCCTCTCTCCCCCTCTCTCTGTCAGTCTTATTGATGAGCTCAGTTCCTCCAGAGGACCAGGGACGCCGCTGCTCGTCTCCTGCCCAGGGTCAGTGAAAACCTCCTGGGGTGAGACTTTCTCCTGCACCCCTGGAGCCTCTGGAGCTGCTGCTAATGAATCTCCCCCTCTCTCCAGTGTGTGTGTGTGTGTGATTGTGTGTGTGTGTGTGTGTACATTAAAACACACAGTCGTTTTTGACTCACTGCTGCCTCCATCAGTACGTTTAAATGATTTTTCTTCATTTATTTTTGGAATGGCTTTGTTTATGTTTACCTGTGTAATTCAAACTGACCACACGGGGCAGTGTAAGACTAGCACCTCTGTCTCTCTGTCACTGATTTTCTATGGACGTCAAGTTAATGGCAGATGTTTTTTCATTTCCAAAGGTTATAATAATGTGTTTTTTAAATTAATTTTTTATTAAAACAGTGACTATGATTTTGTTGAATTTTGTGTGTTTCTATGTGTGTGTGTATTTCAGCCACTAAGTAAATTCCCTCCGCTCCACAACGACATTTCCTTCTGGCTGCCGGAGATCAAGGAGAGCGAGGCTGGGCGAGAGAGCTTCACACAGAATGACTTCTATGATCTGGTGAGATCCATCGGTGGAGAGCTGGTGGAGAAGGTGGCGCTGGTGGACGACTTTACACACCCAAAGTAAGAACGTACACACACACACACGTTATATAACAATGAAGAACAAACAAAATAAAGTTTTATACATTTAGCTTCAACTCTTATGGTAAATAAAAACACATTTGTGGATCAATATTTAAAATATTAATATTTAAATTAACTGGATCGTTTGTGTTTACTCAGTAAATATAAACACATACAAATATACAGATACAAGAAGGTGATGGAAATAGAGTTATGTGACTTGATGTGCACACACTAACACTTGTGTGAGTGAGAAACACACACTTTGTCCTGTAAGGAATCGGCTCATGTTGCACGGCGTATGTCGTGATATTTTGAGCAGGTTTAAATCGTGTTGCACTTTCTCTTCCTCGTGTCAGTACACAGTGAATTATGAACAACATGAAGGCGTGAACTGTGAACCCATCGCTCACTTCAACCTTGGACTTTATTGTGACTCGTCTTTACACATGGTTCTGTCAAGTTGTTGAAAAATGTCCAAAAAAAAAGTCTTTCTGCTCTAACTCGAATCACACACACACGTTGATAAACGCAGACACACAAAGTGTCCTTGAATCACACCTCTGAGCCTGCAGTGTCTGCCGTCCACGTCTTCTTGTTTTAATCAGCCGTTGTGTGTGTGTGTGTGTGTGTGTGTCGGAGGGCAGCAGTAGGAGGCTGTTACCTTATGGCTGGGAACGTTTTTTTTTTTTTACATTACTGTGACACACACACACAAGTCTGACCTTGCGTTTCTTTATGCACATGTAAGTGTGTGTGTGTGTGTAGCCAGGACCCTGCAGTGCGTAAAAATGTCTGACACTATTCATCTTTCAGCATTTTAATGTCTTTTAAATAGGGACCTTTTTCCCCACTGAGCACACTGTCTCTCTCTCTCTCTGTCTGTCTCTCTCTCTCACACACACACACCCACAGAGTGACACCATTACATTAATGCACCCTGACTTTTAGTTTTACCGACACACTGGGGGACCAGGAGTCAGGACTTTGTCACAGCGCCTCTTTCCTCAAAGTAAAACTTTAGTCGTACTTTCCCAATCTGAAAAAAAAAAAAAAAATCAATAAACCTTATCTGGGGAAACATTTTCACCGCAGCTCTATCACCTCTCATCGCTGTCTTTTTTTTAAGGCATTCCTTTGAAAAATGCCGTTTCTTCAACTGAAATGATGTTGTACTGAAAAAAGAATCTGTTTTTGTAGAATTTTTATCTTTGCCGTTTCTTCAACTGAAATGATGTTGAACTGAAAAAAAGAATCTGATGGTTTTGTAAAATTTTTATCTTAGGATAAGTTTATTAACAATAGTTGAAAAAGTCCATAGAAAAAAAACATCTGTAGTTTGAGCTCTGTCGGACACTGAGGCTACCGATCTACTGCTCCCTCTTGTTGTCACCTTGTATCAGTGCACTAAGTCGTAATGAACATTTTTAAACTCTGAAGATGTGTCGACAGTGGATCCACTCCTCTAGAGTCTCAGACATAAATTTACATCGATTGAATCAGTCTCTCTTTACAAGTAGCTAATACTGGTTTTTTTCTCTCTCGATTCATCGAGTCGTCAGTTAGATTTTCTTCAAACATTTTTCTGTGTTGTTTTTTTTTTTAAAGCTCGTTGACAGAGAAATGATTGATGACGGATGATTGATAATAAAATGTGGGGTAAAGTGGATGAAGAGCGAGGCTCCACACTGAGTGTATAAGTGTGTCTCCACACAAATGGTCCTAAATGGATCTAAAACCCACAGAAGCCTCCGGAAACTGCAGCCTCTCGGATGCATCCTCTCCTCCTCCACTTCCTCACAGCTCCTGAAGTAATGAGGAGAGAGGGGGAGAGAGAGTGACAGACCGGTGTGTCCTGATAGTCTCTCGCCCTGCCTCTTGCTCCCTAAACATCTCATGTTGTAGCAAATCAAAGGCGATAGCTCGCCATGATTCACCACAAATCTGCATTTATTGGTTCGCAGCTCTGTCAGCCACGACTTTGCCAGGAGTAATTTGATAAGCTGACAGAGCTGTCTGTCAGGATGGCACACACACACACTCTCACTCACACACTCAGGACCTGCCCTAGAAAGCAACAGCAGAATGTGTAGAGAGGAGTTTCTCTTTGTAGAAATCGTGTCGTGCTCTGAGTGAACATGGTGGTCACATGGTTTCCTTGCGCAGGCACGAAGGCATTAAAGGTTTGTGATGTGAGCAAATCTTTAAAATAATCATAAGGTTCAGAAAGTGTTGGAGGCAACACTGATCAGGCATCGGCTAAATCCGTCAGGATGGTTCTCTGAACCCTGTATGGATCAGAACAAAACGTTGTTCCTTTACCTAAACTCTTTCCTAGGGCTGAGTTTTAGAACCTGTGAGTCAAACAGGAAGTGACCTCTAATGAGAGATAATGAGAAACCCAGGAGTTAGTTCTGGAGCCTTGTATTCCTTCCCTGGGTTTTTAAAAACAAGTCAGGATGTTTGAGTTTCCTGCCAACATTACTGGAGCCGGTGAAATCACAACGTGCAGAAAGGTTGCAGCCCGATTGTCTTTCGCCAACGTCATGCTGGACTAGTTCCAACTGGACGAGGACAGGAATTCGTCAGCTATTGTCAGCCACTTCCTCCCTGTCTTCCTGTCGAGTCCTCCACCTGTCATCGTGTCATCACATCCACTTCCTTCCCACGCAACATCCTCACCACCACCACCACCCCCCTTCCCCGCCCACCACAACAATCCATCAATGGTTCAACGGAGAGAGAAAAACACCCAAAAATGATGGAGGAGGAGGAGGGCTAGCCGTGATTCAGAGGAAGGAGATGACAAATGGGAAGACGAGGAGGAGGAGGAGCAGGAGGAGAACGGCTGTGGTGGAGAGAAGAGGAGATGCTTGGAGAGGGAGAGGGGGAGAGAATGAAAGAGGGAGAGAGTTGTCATTTTCCGGTTGTGCAGGTTGGAGCCTGTTATTCAGCTGAATAATGTATGAATGGTTTCTGTTCCCAAGGAGCATCAGCCAACACACACACACACACACTCACACACACTCACACACTCACAGCTGCCGCAGCAGCCATTTTCGCTCCAGTCTCTCACTCTTCCTCAGCAGAGAGTGGTGTGTCAGAGCGCTTTAACCTGGATCTCACCACATCTTTACTGTGGTCAGACTCTGACACTGCAGCACTTATCACTGACCACTGTCTGCCACGGTCAGTCGGAGACTATGATGCACCGTGACTCGGATGGTGTCACAAAACATGTCATGTCTCCGTGTTCTGTCTCTTGAAAGACTCATCTAAAAAAAATCACGTTTTTTTAAACATAAAAGTTAACTTTTTGATACAAAGTTTTATGACTCAGCTGTAAAAAAAAACAGCATTTTTTTCCCAGACATCCATCAGTGACACAAACTGACCACAGGAAGTAAAACAGCACCTCCTGTGGCCCGGTCAGATAAATTCACTCCCAGTGGACTTTTGCTTCTCCGTTTTTGTTTTTTGTAGTTTTTTTTTTTTTTTTACATAGTTAAAAAATACAATAATTAGTTCACAGAGAACTGGAGAGAGAGAGAGAGAGAGAACAGGATCTCTCCTTTACTTTATCTCCCTCTTCTCTAAATGTCAACATCATCCCATTCACCTTTACAAAATGTCACCTCCTCCTCTCCTCGTATCCAGGTTACCCTGCAGTGTTAGCATATTAGCTTACTGCAGCACCGGCTCCCCGGAGCGTCCTAATATTTTGTGGGAGAGCGAGCGAGAGCAAGAGAGAGAGAGAGAGTGTGTGTGCACAGTAATGTTTTATGGGAATTACAGCGCCCCTGTATCAACAACAGACCAGATTTATATCAGCCAGCTCACACTGGCTGCACAGCCCCAAGGGCTTCTGGGTAATATGGGTGTAATTGAGCATAGAGGTTATGGTTTTGTGCACATATACGTACAGACACAAACAGTAGCATGACTGAAACACCAGGGAGTCTAATTAACACACACACACACACATGGTACCATTCATAAATAGTCCAAGAAAACATAAACAATGTCAAACAAAGTGGGGGGGGGGCATTTTCATCTCAGTTTCATATTTCTTTCCATTAATAAATAAAACATAAGGCATGAGTCAGCTGTAAATGCTAAGCTAATGTAGCCACAAGAAAGAGGATTCATAAAAAAATCAATCAGAATATAATCATGAAATATGTAAAAAAAAAAAAAAAAGTCTGAGAGCGTTTTTTTTTTTTTTTTTTACTCTGACTGTGAGACAGACCGTGACAGGAAACTGAAGTCTGACCAAAGTCCATTAGGAAAGTAAACATGTTTGATAAGAGTGAATGCTGATGGTTTTGCTCTCCTGTTGCCCAGTCAGGTCAGTTTGTGTCACACGTTTCCAAGTGACATTTGAACATTAGAACAACATCGTAACACATGTAAGCTAGCTACTGAAGGCAGCGGTGGGCTAACAACTCCTTGTGGTCTGGAGTAAAATTACAGATTTTCTCAATGGAGCTTGGTTTAAAAGAAGGAAGTTGACAAAGTCCAGTTCGTTAAAGAAGAACAAACAGTTTTCTTACAACTAAGTAAAACCAAATTATTTTTCATTTATTAACGGTTCGACTCCTCACTCCAGAGTTCATAGATAAAATAGATTTTTTTTATCACAGATATCTTCTTTGTGTTACTTTAGTGTTTTAAACTCTTTTATCCACAATCTCCAGTGGCAAAACCTGACCACAGGGGGCAGCAGTAGACTCGCAGCTCCTGTTTTACTGTGAGCTAAAATCACAGTTTTTTTCTATGAATTTTGGTCTGAAACAGTGAGGCGTTCACCAACTCTCCCTGCTCCAAAACAATGATGCTGCAGTTGTCAGATAAAAGGTAGAAAATGGCAACGTTAGACACACACACTCTCTCTCACACACACCCAGACCCCTCCCTCTGTCCATCTGTCCGTCCTGTCCTCAGTGAACCTCGTCGTCAGCAGCTCTGCTCGGGGTCACAGTGGCGTTTTGCTGCTG